GCGTTGCGCACAGGCTCGCAGCACTGTTGCTACACAGCTGATTCCCGGGTGGGCCCCAGGTTACCGTGACTGCAACTCCGGGTGCACCACACGCCCCCAAACTGACCACCCCCTCTGCCACCAACCTGGATTCTTTGGGGCCACTCCTCCGCCTGCGCGCGCTCCCGCGCGTTCACGCTGCGGGGCCCTGGAGATCCTGTCCCGGGCTGCGGGGGGAGCCTTCCGCCCTTTGTCTATTACCGTGACCCGCGGCTTTGCGGTGTCGTACGGAACACTTGGCTTGACTCTGTTTCCTTGTTCAATGAGCATCGTTTACGCACTTAGTTCTGGGCTCTAACCAAGTCAGCGCCACCCCGCGTCCCTGTCCTCCTCTCCTGAGCGCGGTCAGTTCTAGCTTTCCTCTCAGGCGTCCAAGGCTCTGCACATTTTCGGAAGGGTCTGCACCCCCCGCTCCCCCGGGCTCCCGGCACGCTCTGTGCTGTTTCATCTATGACTAATGCGTTTTCTCCGCGAGAAGGGTGAGCCTGGTGCTCTTCTAATTAGACCTGGCTCCTGGACGCCGGGAGGCTGAATGAAGGAGAGTTGGCCAAGAAACTAAACAAAACCATTAGTGGGATAGCGGCCTCCTCCACCCGCCTGGTGGCCGGGAGCAATTGTCATTCCCAGAGGCAGAAGTTCCTGGCGAGCCCTGTCAGGGGGAAGAAGAATTTGGGTTTGGGATGGTCGTGAAGGGCTTTGCGCAATGAAGAGGCAGCTTTATATCCCCTTAGGATCAATTCTGTGAGGCCTGATGCGCAGTTTGGAACCAGAGGGACAGAGGAGCCCCGGAAAGAGTCAACAACCCATTGGCAAGAAGCCAACCATGTTCTCTTGCAAAGTTTCTAAGCTACCCGTTTCCTGCGTTGGTGTGCCAGCAGGGGACGATCTGTTCAGAGTGGCCATTCCCAATGACGGCGGTGGGTCCAGGGCAGGAAGGGTGGGGATGCCTGGAGGGAAAGGCTTTCAAAGAGTAGGAGGTTCTAGGGTTGGCTCCCAGCCCTCTAGGCTTGCTTTGTCACTGGATCTGCAGGTTAGGGCCTTGAAAAGTTCAGCTGTCCAGGCTAAAAACTCAGTCAGAAAAGCAACAGCAGAAGGACTAAGGAGGGTGTGATCAACAGACCAGTGGGAGGACACGGGGAGGCAGAGCTGCAGAAATGAAAGCCAGATTGGCAGTCCATTTTTAACTCAACTCAGGCAGCTGTGCGGCCTGAAGGTCAGACCAGCCGAGGAAGGAGATGTTGATAGGCTGGTCTCGGAAAGCAGATTGCCACTTCTCTTTCAATAATAGAAAAGTAGAATAAGCAAGCCCATTTAAGCTAGTGTGTTCAGGACCCATGGATATGGGCCCCTGGTCAGATTCAGATGTCAGCTGCCTGGCTGCAGGAAGGGGAGAGGGTGGGTACAGGCAGAGCTTCCTTTCCTTACCTGGGGGGCAATATTAATGAGCCTGCCTCTTACCTGCCTCCAAGGAGAGTTGTTAGGACTAATAATTTAGGACTAATGGGTGGTCTGAACACGCACAGTGAAATAAAGAAATTGCCCATTTCCATTTCCTTAGGGTATTTAGGTATAACTCATAAATTAAGTACTCTCAAGAGGCCAGAAAGATTATTAGACATTTATACTCTCAGCTCACCTAACTGAAATTTTGCAAAGCCCTTCGGGACTTTAGTGCAAGAAATAATTTACCTATGTTACAAAAGACTTCAAATAAAATCATTCTTTTGGGCTGAATGAGCCTTGTTCTCAGGAAATACAGGGCATAAGAAATGATTGCTGTAGAACACATATCTGGAATAATTAGTGAAAATTGTCCTTTTAAAAAAATCTACTTAAAGGGTAAAAATCCTTTCTGTTACCACTAATTTGCATCTTTGCAGTGTTATATAAACAGAGCTGATTTTTAACAAGGAAGCATAGAACAGAATTAGGGAAAAGGAAGTGCCATAATAGTATTGCCATGAGATGACATACTTAACCTATTAGATTTTTTAATGATGTGGATATAGGTAATTATTTATAACTGAAAGTTCATCACATTGGTGAATTTCAGGTATTTATCAGGTGCAGTGATGAAGTACATTTTATTGCTATTTTATTATATCCGCTATAGTTAATACTTAAAAAAATAGTTTATGAGGGTGCTTACTTGGAAGTAATAGTTGTATATAAACAAAAAATCTAATTGATTAAATAATTTGATACACCAATATATTATAGCAAGCTACCTAAATCATAAGCATGCTTGCTTTTTTCTTACTATTTACTCATCTACCTTCTTACAAAAAAAAGAAGTAACAGTAACATATAACAACAGTATATTCATCTGCTATATATGCAAATGTTTAAATTGCAGGCCTCTTCCTGTATGAATTCTAGTATAGTGTAGTACTCATAATATCATTGTTCACATCAAGTATAAATTCAGAATACCAGGGATATTTCAATAAACAAACAAAACTATGGTGCTTTAATATATTATTACAGGAAATACTGGTGTCATGTGTATTCATGATTTGGAATGTTGAATATTTACTATATGTTTCACCTACCATTTTTCTCTCTTTATTCAGTATAAGCCTGAGGTCTTATTAATACATCTACATTCAGTGCCTTGCCTATTTCATTTCATAAACTTGGCAGTAAGGAAAAATGATTGCTTCTTAATCTGTACAGTGGATTCAGGGAGGACTTATAGGACACGGAAGTTGATCTGTATAATATCTATGGTCCCTGAGCAAGCTCATAGTGTTGTTGTGGGGATTGAAAGAGATTATACTCAAAGCCAATTATTACCTTATTTTAAATAAGCAAATCTGAACTCTTTAAAAGTAATTGTCTCTGACTATCGTTGGTTGTACTAAATTTGTAAATCTAGTGCCCATGTGAAATCTTAGAACAGGACCTGGTACATAGCAAGTGTTTAATGCATAATAGTTATTATTATTGCAATTATTATTGTCCTGAAATTATAGTTCTCAGGTGTCAGTGCAGCAAGCACTAAAGGGGCTAAGTGGGGTCAGGGAAGTATTATTAAAGTAGAACAAAATTTATGGTCTTTCCTGTTTGCAGGAGATATGGAAAATATTTGCTACTGCTTAGGAAAGCCTTTTTCATTATAACACACTAGAGGCCCGGGGCACGAATTTGTGCACCAGTGGGCTCCCTCAGCCTGGCCTGCAGGATCAGGCTGAAACCGGCTCTCTGACATCCTCCAAAGGGTCCTGAATTGCGAGAGGGCACAGGCCAGGTTGAGGGACCCCATCAGTACATGATCGGGGCCCATGATCAGGGCCAGGGAAGGACACGGGAGGGCTTCAGGGTGTGTCCGGCCCATCTCACTCAGTCCCGATTGGCCAGACCCCAGCAGCAAGCAAACCTACTGGTTGGAGCATCTGCCCCCTGGTAGTCAGTGCACGTCATAGCGAGCTGTTGAGCGGCCTTAACATATCATCAGTATATTACACTTTGATTGGTTGAACAGATGAGCAGACTACTGGACACTTTGCATATTAGGCTTTTATTATATAGGATATATAATTGTATGGGAGAGCAGGAAGATCTCCCAATGTAAAAAATATAACGTAGGTAAAGTTATTTTGATGCACAATACAGAGTTATACATATTACCTTTCCTTTATTAATCTAGGAAATCGTTTTCTGGACAAAATTTAACTTTACACATATTTGAAATCATGACTATAGAAGCACCTGATTGTTTCAAGATATGTATGACCCTCTGTTAACATGCTGGATGAGATATATTTTATCATTATTTTTGTCTTTTAGGATGCTCCAACCAATAACATTTTCACTTAAGAATTAAATATGCAATATGAGTCATTCTGTAGAATGATAAGGGATTTGCCATTAAGGTAACATGGAAACTTATTCAGTATAAGACAAGAATAAGCCCTGATATAAAATAATATGTAATAGTTGCTGCTGTAAGCTGAGAGAATCTTCCAGTAGCAGAATGCATTGCCTTTCTAAATTTGAACAGAGAAATGGTTACCATAGTGACTTATCTCTTAAAATAGTTGTATGATTTTTTTTCTCTTTCAGAACAATGTTATGCATTATCTTCCCATAATGAAAGCTGATATGTTTTAAATGCACACAATCTCTCTTTCTTCTTGATTATGCAAAGATTTATAATTTAGGTGCCCACATAAGTGAATGTCAGCCAAGAACATGGAGTAGGTCCTTGACATTTTTCTAGGGATAAAAATCTTTGCAAATCCCAAATTTAAGAATACCACAATAACACCATTTTTCTGGAATTCTATGTACACACAGATAAGAAGAGAAAAATAAAGCAATATGTTCATGTAGGTGCTGTACTTTATTGGTCTCCCTCCCTATACCAGCCAAATGTCCTATTCTGATGGATAACCTTTGCATAGCTTTTGTTATTCACATTAGTGTCCCAGAAAAATGACACATTGCTTTATAACATAAACCTGTGGGGTTGCACGAGAATTGGATTAAATCCAAGAATGTCAGTGTAGAGAATTCTTCGAGTAGTCTTTACACTGTGTCTGACCCCATTCTGCAGATGTAAGCATATTAAGAAGTCTGAGAAAGTCGCAGATAGATAGATTCTTTTGTTTTTCCTTTCTTTTTCATTTTCATGGTGTAGTATTTAGATGCATGACCTAAGGGGCCTGACTGCCTAGGTTCAAATACCAGCGATGACTCAAGCTGTACAAACTTTGATAAGACACTTAACATGTCTATGCCTCCATTTCTACCTTTAGAATAGGGAATATAATGACATCACCTCATAAAGGGCTGTTGTGGGATTAAATGAGTTAATATTAGCCATGATTATAATTAGGAATTTTTTTCTGATTTTAAAAAATCACCATTGCCCTGGTAACATTTTTATGAGAAGGTAGCTAGGGGAGTGTTTACATGTATTTCAGTGTGTGTATAAAAGTGTATTTTATATATATTCTTTCATTGGTCGATCAATATTCAGTAAATGTTAATTGAATATTAATTATTCATTAGGCACTGAAACACAAGTCTCCGGTTGTAAGGAGGTTATAGTTTAGAAAAGAACATAGACAAATAGATTACAATTAGTCTGATAAGTTAGGGACAGCACAATGATATAAGCACGAATCTATTTTGAAGGAAGGTTTATAGTCTTGCTACTCATGGTTTGTTTCCTGGACTAGTAGCATGTACATCACTTAGGGGCTTGTAAGAAATGCAGAACCTCAGTCCTTAACCCAACTGAAATAGAATCCACTTTTTAGAAAAGATCCCTAGGTGATTCATATTGTATGCAATTAAAGTTTGAGAAGTACCGATTTTTAAAGAGAATAAACAGAATAGTAAGACCGCCTAAGCCAGGGGTCCTCAAACTACGGCCCTCAAACTACGGCCCGTGGCAAATACAAATATTGTATTTTTTCCCGTTTTGTTTTTTTACTTCAAAATAAGATATGTGCAGTGTGCATAGGAATTTGTTCATAGTTT